GAAGAAGAAAAAAAACGTATAAAGGAATTTTCTCGAGGAATTCGAATGAAACGAATCGATAACGAAGAAACTTTTCTCTTCTTTTTTATTAATCGAGAAAGTTGATGGATTATCAAAAATCAATCAATCAAAGAAACTTATTATATTTATATCGACGAAGAAAGTTTCGATAAGAGGGAGAGAGAGAGAAATAGAAATAAAGGAAAATAGGAAAACGAGTTACAATAAGATCGATGAAAGAAGCACAATAGAGATATGAAAAGAATTCGATCGAACTCTGTTTACTATTGTTTACGAAACATAAGATTCCAATTGGAGTCGCATTTCCGGGCCGGGGAATCGGTTCATCGCCCGCTTTGTTACGAGTGCGCGGCGTTCACTGGATGATCTGAGCCGATTACCACCGCGTTTCCCCCGTTTTATGATATTTCAAACGTAAAAAAAAGGAAGTGTGTGGAATCTGTGCCAGTGGGTCTCGGTCTCCTCGGCCGCGCTCATCCTCCCACCAGGCCCCCGAACAACTCGGCGAAGAAACGGGGCCTCGGTCGGGGCCGGGGTAGGGGAACGCGCAACGTTGTTGGGGAGGGAGGGGGGTTGGGAAGGTTGCATAGAAAGAGGAAGGCTCTCGAAAGCTGAGCCGACTCTGCCGCTCGACCGCTCGACCGCGGCTTCGAATCCTCTCTTCGAAACGAGATTCGAAAATTCGTTCGACGAGGCCTCGATTTCCAAAGGCGCGAAATCAATTTTTTTTTTTTTTTTTTTTTACAGTGAAATTTTCCAGGGATGCGATCTCTCGTTGGCGTAAAATTTTCATTTTGGTAGAGAAAGATATAAACGAATCTTTCTCGTTTAACTTAGAATTGTATATATATATATATATCATTAATTAATTCGAGCCCGATCCGACGCCGACTTTTCACGGTGATTGCGATCACGCACAACTCCGCGAGACGTTGGTCGAAACCGAGCGACCACGTTTCACTTTGCACGATTTCTTACACAATCGGTTTGTGCTACTTGCGAGACACGCTTACCCACAACCCGCCAACCCACCAACGCGGACATCCGGATCGCGCCGTGATAAGTGGCTTTTTGCCACTTTTATGCTCGTTAATCCGATCGATTAGGAATAGGCGGGCGGAGGGAGAGTTTAATCGCGAGCGCGGACAACTGAAATATGCAACGCACGGCAAATGGCGGCTCGTTGGCACACTTTCCTCGATCGGCTTCGATCCCATCGCCCGATTTTTCTATATATATATATTCGATCGGATATTATTACACGTTGGTCCAAGTATTCTCGATTATCGATTTCCAATAGAATTTTAGAATTTTCTTCTTCTTTTCTAATCCTAGAACGGATTCTTTCTTTTCTGATATATATGTATACATATATTGGAAATTTTCGAGTTTCTTCTTTCTTTTCTTTTTTTGCTCGAGCGACAAAATGGAACGGAATATCTGGTCCAATTACGAATCGAATCGAATTAATGGAACAGTTTGTTTACGAATTTTCTTGCAGTATGTTTGAAATTTTAGAAATGTCTTTTTTTCTCCCCTTTTCTTAATCGAGAGATAGAATAAATCCGACATTATGTACAAATTTTCCAACGATATCCGGAACCAAAATTTCTTACTCTCTCTCTCTCTCGAGTGACGGAAAGTGACGGAAGAATGGAACGTACACACGATTGTTTTCAGCCAAACAAATTGGATACAAATTTTTATTCGGTTGCGATAAATAAATAAATAATACAAAAGAGGAAGAAATGGAAATGAATCAGATGAGAGAACGAAAGAAAGGATAATAAATAAATTATTCTTGGTGAGTGTGAAGTTTGATGACCGAAGCTTGGATTTCTCCAGCGTGTCCAGCGCCCGTTTCGTCGTTCCTCCCGTGTCGCGCGATCCATCACAACCGATCGTTACGTTTTTCAACACTCCGTTGTGTACGTGTCACGTGCGAAATCTTTAAAACCCGTCACTTTCTAACGGAGCAAAAGTGTGCGTCAAAAGTGTTCGTCCGTCTCACTACCTCCATCGTCTCAATGTCATTGTCACCGTCCAGTATGGCCGTCCTTGTCTCGTCCCGTGTCTCGTGCCTCGTGCTTTCTCTCTCTCTCTCTCTCTCTCTCCCTCTCTCCCCCGTCGACTTTTAATCAATTAACAAATGTATCGGTGCTGCTGTCTCGTCTCGAAGAGGCGACGAAGCCGGTCCAGCGCGGATCAGGATCAAGATCGGATCAGGACACCCTCGAGTCGCCGAACAGGTGAGCGTATCCCCTGTAAGGAAGGCCCGCGTCCTCCTCGCCTACGGAGGACCGCTTCTTCCGGTAATGGTGGTGGCCGACGTCCTGCGCGTACACCACGTGGTGGCCGCCGCCGCTCTCGTGCCCGCTCGCCAGTTTCTTCACGGCCACGATCAACGAGAGCATCAAGGCCAACGCGGACACCATCAACGCCTTCATGGCCAGCAGACCGAGAGCGCCGAATCCTAGCGCCGCCATCATCTTGCCTGAAAATTGCAAAGATCAGTCAGGTAATCGATCTCTTAGTATCTCGATCCTTTAGGAGGGATTTTAATAATAATAAATGGGTGCGAAATATATTTTTCAGACGAGGAAACAAGGGAAGGAGGGGAAAATGTTTTGTTTCGGAAAACTCGTCTTACCCATCATCAGAGCCAGCATCATCATCCCGCCACCACCGCCCTTCTTTCCACCGCGGAATCCACCGCCTCCACCGCCGCCCCCGAATCCTCCGCCGCTTCCTCGTCTAGCTGAAACCACATACAAACAAATAGGCAAATGAAATCACCCTCCCAACTAATATCTTGGATCAAATCGAATCTCTCATCGAGGGTGAACCTTGATCGACCGGCAAACTCTCTTGAAGGGCGCTCTCGATATTCTGCGGCAACAAGGCGGGCAGTTTAATCCTCAGCTCCCTCCCCTCCAAAAACTGCATCAGGCTTCCCACGCCCCCGAATCCCTTCATGAACTTGCCCTTCCTCAACGGGGACGAGGAGGCCGGCGGCACCTCGACCAAGCTCACGCCGTCGAAGATCTCGAGATTCGGCTCCTGGCTCGACCTCTCCAAAAATTGTTGCACGATCCTCCTCACGATCCTGACCCCGTAACAAGACACAGAAATATTCTTAGACGGGTCCGCGCCCGAGCAATCGGCCGCGAATCCGGAGGCCCAGCCTCCAGCGTCCTTCGTCTCGTTTCCGGCCGTCGTTGTCGTCGTCCTCGTCGTCGTCGCGTCAGCCTGACTCGCGATGCAAAACACGCAGACGACGGACAGGCAGATGGCCAAGCAACGGCCGCGTCCCCCCCCGTAGCGTAGCGTGAACGCGATCCTCGCCCAATCCATGCTCGCTGCCCCGTGCCCGCTCCGACTGTTTCCGACTTCCGACTCTGCACGATCGACACGCGGCCGCGTAGAACACGCGCTTCGTTGAAGAAAATTGTCGGACCTGTGGCGAACCTACGGCGGAGGTCCGAGCGGTGCATCTAGGCGGATTTGAAATCGGAGTTTATATATAGTTGTACGTGCCGGTCGGTGATCGTAGCTATGAAAAAGAGGAAAAAAGGAAAAGGAGAAAAAAAGAAAAGGGGGAAAAAAAGGAAAAGGAGCAAGGAGAGCGGCCGGCTCGGATGCCGGCGGCCGTTCTCTTCTCTCGTTGTCGCTCGCCCGTTGCTGCTTGCGCTTCCGATCCTTCGCCCCCGCTCGCTCCCCCCTCCCCCCCTAGTTTTTTCTCTTTTTCCTCCTCTTCCCCTTTTTTCTCTCTGCCTCCTCTCCATCTTTATCATCTCCTCCTCCCCTAGTTTTTTTAATTCTCATTTTTCCCAAGCGTTTCAGAGCGTTACGCCGCGGTTGGCTGCTATACGCCTCCATCTCTCTCTCTCTCTCTCTCTCTCTCGCGTCCTCTCTTCTCATCCGCTCTCTCCCTTTATTCTAGATCACTGGATATCGCGTCGCGCCGCAACACCCCGCCCAAACGGAACGAACAAACGGGGCTTCCTTTCCCTCTTTCCGCGATTTAGTGGAGCAGAAGAGAACGTAACCGATTTCGAATCTCGGGTGTTGTAAGCAAGCGCAGCCTTCCTTCTCTCCCTGCCCGTGTACATCTTTCGATCCGTAATTAGCGGCACGAGATCCGCGCCACATATTATTATTACGTTACATTACAAATTGGCAACCACGTTGGATTTTCCTCCAGCGACTCGTTTAAATTTTTTTTTCTTTCCTTTTTGCTTCCTCGAGGAGAAAATTTTCATCGAGGCTGGAACTCGAAGCGGAATTAATTGAAACGAAAGCGCGTGAATTTTTGAATGGGAGATGGATCGTGAACAGAGAGAATTTTCCTTCTTTATTCCCAAAGGGAGGGAGGGAGGGATGATCGACAACGGATGGACGGGCGTACGATAGATGAGATGGGATATGGGATAGGAGCAGAGGGAAGAAGGAATCGATCGACGCCAGGCCAGGAACGAAACTAGTTCATCTTGCCGCATACCTTTCTCTTCTGTTCCACTTCCCTTCGCGTGCCGCTTGAACGATACACGGTATACGTGTATACGTGTAGCGTTGGATGGTTGGTATAACTAGGCCCGGTTTGATACCGTTCGCTCGTTCCTTGCCACGACGCCACGCCACACGGACGATCGTGTATCCTTGAAACCCGATCGACGATGAGGCTTTCTTCCTGGTTTTCCTTGTCCCTTTTTTTTGTTTTTCTTTTTTCTTTCTCGGAGAGGATGGGTCGATTCCGTGTTTCGGTTTTGGTTTCGCTTGAAGGAAAAGCAAGTTTTTTTTTTTTTCTTTTCTTTTCTTTTTGGACAAATTATGGATTCAAATTTTTTTTTTAGGAAATTTAAGAGGGTGGAAAGGGTGGGGAGGGAAGGAGGGGATGGTTGTTGGGAAATTTTTGAAACGTGTATCACGATGCTTGGTATTGGTGAATTCGTATTTAGACGAGTTGTAAATATTAAAGATATGTAAAAATTTCAAATTTTCACGTTTCATTCCTTAAAGGTAAATTTCTTAATTATTTCTTAATTTATAAACTTCGTTACAGCAATTTAACTGTACTTAGTCAACTCTTCTATATTTAGAATTCAATTATCTTTCTTTCCCCGTCAAAGTAGCTGCCTTTAATTACCCAACACCTTCAATTTAATATTTTACGATCGTAAATTTCCCCTTAACGACGGCTTTTAATATCCTGTGTAATGATCATCAAGTTTTTCAAACGAGTAAACTCAAGTGTCCTTGTTTTTCCGTGTTAAAAACACGTGCGAGGAAAGAGACGAGAAAGAGAAGAAGAAGAAGAAGAAGAAGAAGAAGAAGAAGAAGAAGAGGGACGGAGGGGGAGAGAGGATCAGGAATTTAATCGGGCTCGGGTTTCTCCCCGGGACACTTCCGTAATAATGAGCGAGGGAGGAGGACGATTTAGAACGAGTTGGTGGAATCTACGGTCGCAGACAGTTTTCTCCTTTCGATAGACGAAATGTGTGTCGGCAACAGGCAGGCGGTCGATCATTCAGACGAAGACCGGTCGACACCATTTACGCGCGTCCAACATCCTTCTACGACGATAATAAGAAAAAGATACGATCGATACGTCCAGATACTTTCTCCTCTCGCGACGAATTTCTCCGAATCGGGCGAAAACGCGCGCCCGAAACGAAACCAGGCCACTAATTTTCGATCGCGCGCGTTATAATAATAATAATAATAATAATAATAATAATAATAAATTCGATCGAAGAAATAACGATCTCGATCCTTTCGTTACGATATACTTTTATTCCTTTCCAACGATTATACGTTCAATCGTATGAATTTTCGCAATTATCAAAAAATGATATTAAATTCTTCGAAATTCGTTTATATAAAGTATACACGAAATATTCCTTTTTTTTCCCCCCCCACCTCGATTTAATAATTGATCGAATAATTATCGATCGAAATGTCCTCGAATTTTTTCGTGATCCACGTGTCGATATTTTTTTTTTTTTTTTTTTTTTTTCTTTTCCTCTCCAATTTTCGAGAACTGGGTCAACGATGACGTTGACCGCCTCTCTCTCCGATACCCGAAACCGAAAGTTGATCGCGCGAGGAGTGGGAAAGGGAGAGAAAGAGATTGTTTCTCCTGGGTGTCCCTTATCGAGCCATCATCGTCGTCGTCGTCGTCGTCATCGTCATCGTCGTCATCTTCTTTCCGATCCTTCCCGATCGAGGCGGAGAAAGCGGCCACGGGCGAAACGGGGACGGTTTATTTGAATGAGAGATGCCTCTACTCTTGGATCGCCGCTACTTTTTCGTTTTCCCTTCGACGATCAGTAGGGAGGCTTCTTTCTCCTTTTGTCCCAAGAATTTGGGCTTGTTTTATCTCGAAGATTCCACGTTACGATTGCTCGAAAGCAAAGAAGAAATTCGATTAAACGAATGTGTTTGAATTTTTTTTGCACGCGTGGAAGAATGCTGAGAAATTTTTTTACGAGTAAGAAGTTGGAAGTTTGGAACGAATAGTGGATGGATTTATAATTGCGTATGCATCCGAGGATAAAGATTGGTCGTGAGTCGAGTCAAATTCCTAGCTCGACGCCATCTGGTGGTGGTGGTGTTGAAGTCCCGCTAAGTTCCGCAAAGCGGAGCACGACGTGACGAATACCACGAATATATCGCATATTTTTCCTATCGAACAGTTAGAAATAATTTATCGAACTTTCGTTCCGTGTATAATCATTTTTTTTTTTTTTTTTTACTACTCTTAAGATAAATACGGATGGAACTTTGATGGCATAATTTTCCATTAACTCGCATTAATTAATATCAACCTGTTAATTTTCATTTATTCGATCTATATAACCGCGTTTCGGTAATTAGTGTAAATATAATTTCTGGATCTAGAATGAAAAAATTTTATAGGAATATTTAATACATATTTCCTTTTCATGTTACGTTTATCATTCTCCTTCTTCTTTTGCAAAATGGCCTTATTTAATAAAAAATTGTACGAGTTCGGTCGCGAATTTCTTATTCGAATTTAATCACGATGAACGCTTAAACGTGTAATCTCTGTCGTCCAAGTACAGTGATTCGAATAATGATCCGCAATCGAGAACTCGTTTCCACCTACCTTTACCATTTAAGTAAAAACAATTATTCATTTTATTGCCACGCGTTCTTCGATAATTTGATAATATATTTATGTACACAGTCTTCTTTTTTTTTTTTTATAATTCCAATAAATATCGTATAAAACTATTAAACAAAATAGGGATGGGAATTGAGAACGCAAAAGTTTCTTCCAAATATTGGACTAGTTTTTTTTTTTTTTATACAGAGAAGATTAGATGCAAACGTGTGTATAAATAACAACAAAATAAATATTTATTTATACAAGTAAATAACAACGTAAATAATAACATTATTTTACAGTTCTGCGCCTCGCAGTGGTGGCGAATAAGTTAATCATAAATTAGTCGATAAATAGAGTATAGTTACAGTTGTTATGGAAACAGTCCACTCGTCGATGTAGTAGTAATAGTAATAGTAGTAGTAGTAGTATTCCGTGTCGATGGGTGCGTCTCGTTCGTCCGTCTACCTGTAAACGTGATCCGAGCGCTCGATGAGCTCGTGGGAACGCGATTTCTCGATCGAAATAATATCCGCGTATATATAATTCTTCCCCAAGCGTAGGAAAACGCTGCGAGGATATCGATTTTTTGGCACGAATAAAAATTGTATCAACGGGGAAAAAATATCGATGGCGACATCCGTGTATGCAAAATTTGAAAATTATTTTGCATTCCATCTCGAAAGAAACTCTGTCCAAACTCTGTCACGATCTGTCCAAGTCTATCGTCTACGGTCGAACAGCAAAGAGTTGCCTCTCTTCGGAAGAAATCGGGCGAAGAGAGAGAAAGAAAGAAAGAGAAAGAGAGAGAGAGAGAGAGATGAAGAAGAAATAGATAATAAAAATTACGGGAATACAAGGAAGAAGAAGACGAAGAGAAGTGGAGAGGAGGCGAGAAGAGCGCGTTGGCAAGAAAAATTGGCGGCCACGAATGGAAATTTGTCCGACAAAATGACGCCGGCAAAAATCTCGAGTACCGCTGGGAATCCGAATTCCGCTGGGATTCTCCTTTCCTTCTTTTTCTTTCTTTACTTCGTGTGCGCCGAGTAGGCCAGCTCGTGGGCGGCGTCACCCTGAACACCGGAAATAGGCTCCTGGGGGCCGTGGAAACTTCTGGCCCAACCGCTCGAGTAGCTGTCGCCGTGGCCGTGGTCCGAGCTGAACGTGTGACTGGAGCTGTGATGAGGATGGGCGACCACCTCGTACGTCACGTGTTTCTGCTGGGAGAACAGCTTCTTCAGGCCTATTATACCGGCCAGCAACAGAGCGATCTTCGAGAGGAGCAACGCTTTCCCGACCAATAGCGCGAGCGCTTTGAAGGCGAGACCTCCGATCAGACCGATCTTCAGCACAGCAGCTGCGATCAACGGGCCCATGTTGTTGTTCTTCTTGCCACGACCTGGAAAATCAACCATCTCAACGATCAATCGTTTATACAATAGTTTATATTCGCTCTCTTTAAAAAAAAACGATCGATTCGAAATAATTTTCGTGATGGATTGGATCCGGAAGCGCGACATTCGGATGCTTGGATCGAAGGAACGAAGGCAATTGGGGGGAGAGTAAAAGTCGAGAGGCGGGCGACCAAGATGAACGAGTCGGCCAACTTGCGTAACCGGAGGAGAATAGATTCCTCCAGATTGAAGATCTGGATTTTTGTAATATAGGATCGAAGAAATCTTCCTCGTTGAGAGATTAAAATTTATTAGTTAGATGATAGAATACGAGAGAATATTTTTACCGAAGAATAGATTGAAGATTTGGATTTTTATAATATAGGATCGAATTTGAAATAAAAATAAAAATCTTTCTCATTGAGAGATTAAAATTTATTAATTAAATGATGGAATACGAGAATATCTTTATCAGAGAATAGATTCTTCCAGATTGAAGATCTGGATTTTTGTAATATAGGATCGAAGAAATCTCCCTCGTTGAGTGATTAAAATTTATTAGTTACATGATAGAATACGAGAGAATATTTTTACCGAAGAATAAATCGAAGATTTGGATTTTTATAATATAGGATCGAATTTGAAATAAAAATAAAAATCTCTCTCATTGAGAGATTAAAATTTATTAATTAAATGATGGAATACGAGAATATCTTTATCAGAGAATAGATTCTTCCAGATTGAAGATCTAGATTTTTATAATATAGGATCGAAGAAATCTCGTTAAGAGATTAAAATTTATTAATTAGAAGTGGATGATAGAATACGAGAATATTTTTACCGAAGAATAGATTGAAGATTTGGATTTTTATAATATAGGATCGAATTTGAAATAAAAATAAAAATCTCATTGAGAGATTAAAATTTGATGGAATACGAGAATATCTTTATCAGAGAATAGATTCCTCCAGGTTGAAGATCTGGATTTTTGTAATATAGGATCGAAGAAATTTCCCTCGTTGAGAGATTAAAATTTATTAGTTAGATGATAGAATACGAGAGAATATTTTTACCGAAGAATAGATTGAAGATTTGGATTTTTATAATATAGGATCGAAGAAATCTCCCTCGTTGAGAGATTAAAATTTATTAATTAAAAGTAGATGATGGAATGCGAGAATATTTTTACCGAAGAATAGATTGAAGATCTGGATTTTTATAATATAGAATCGAATTTGATCGAAATAAAAATAGAAATCTTCCTCGTTGAGAGATGAAAATTTATTAATTAGAAGTAGAATGGAATACGTTTACCATCTTGTACGGGAACGTTATCCGCCCTCTCGATGGACAGTCCGAGGTTGAAGGACCCGCTCTCGTCCTCGGAGGCGGAAACTACAACATCGTCCTCGGGCAGGATCCTCCATTTGATGCTCCTCGACTTGACGAACGCGTACACCTTGTTGGCGACGAGGTCGAGGACCTCGGATTCATCGTCTTTGCTCCTCCCTGCCTCGAACGTGATCACTTCCTCGGATGCTTGGCTCGTTTTTCTGATCTCGATGTCGTCGGTCAACTTGATCGACGCCTTCTTCAGCAGCTTGTTCATGTACGTGACCAGCTTGAGCATCACGCAACTGCTCATGTCGTTTTGCGAGCACTTGGAGTTGAGCTTCCTTAGAAGCTCCTCCTCGTACTTGGCCCGATCCGTTAGCGTCACGGACTGCTGCTCGAGGACGCTCATCTTGTCGAGCTTCTCCAACGGGGTTGCCGGGCACAGGGCGGCCAGCAACGAGATCGACAGGAGCAACACCACGGCCTTCATCCTGCCTATCTGCAAAACGAAAAACTTTTCGATTCGACGACGTCGAAGAAATCGAAATCGTTCGTTTCCAATTTTCACGAGAAGAGGAGAAAAAGAAAAATTTGAATCCACCGGGAATGAAGAAATATTCTCTCCGCCCTTCTCTTCACAGAGAGAGAAGATAGTGAGAAGATAGGGAAGACACTTTGGCGATGAGACGATACTCACGGAAATTTAGATTTTCTCGATCGAAGAAGACGAGCGGAAGGAAGCTGGGTGGAAGGAAGCACGGTGCCGCGCCTCTTCTCTCTGTCCCTTTCCTACGTTGAACCGACGGCGGGTCCACCACCCGATGCGTGGATCGAGCGTAGCGAGTATTCTGAACCCGGTCGTCTCGCCCCGGCCGCTTTTATATACGTAGGCAAACCGGCCGAATATGCGTGCACGCGAAAACGCGGTGCGGCACACACAGGTCCACCACACCACGGTGCGCGCTCCGAGCACACGGGGGCGGGTGGTGGCCACTTTTGCCTTTGATACGAGGTTGGCTGCCGGTCGACTGCCGGTCACATGATGAACACAGTGGTGGGATCCACCGTGTGGCTGCGCTCCCGCCTCCCTCCTCTACCCGCGCTCTCATCTCGGCTGAAAAGAGCGCCGACCCCCGACAGAGATCCGAGCAGCGTGCCCGCAAACTGGTTCCACCTTTGCCGGACACCTCGGGACACCTCGGTGGTGGTGTTGGGCACCGTAGTGTGGAGGTCGTCTCTCGAACCAACACACGTCACCGATTCCTGGACTCTCCTGGTGGTGTCCAGCCACGACCCGTGTCGCGAGAACCGTGTCACGGATGTGGAACACGCGCGCAGCCGACCACTTTGTCAGACACTTGACCGAGGAGCTGCATCGGTGTCGCGATCGATTCGCGATCTCCGCGATATTTATATTATTTCTGTACGTATACAACTCCTTTCTGAACTCTTCTCGCACTCTCGAACGTCTTTTTTTTTTTTTAGTTGGTTTTTTGGGGAGAGAGAGAGGGAGGGGCACGTTGTCGATTGCGGTAAGAGGATTTAACAGAGATCGATTCGCGATCTCCGCGATATTTATATTATTTATTGTACAATGTATAGAACTCCTTTCTGAACTCCTCTCGCACTCTCGAACGTCTTTTTTTTTTTTTTTAGTTGGAGTTGGTTTTTTGGGGAGAGAGAGAGGAAGGGGCACGTTGTCGATTGCGGTAAGAGAATTTAACAGAGATCGATTCGCGATCTCCGCGATATTTATATTATTTCTGTACGTATAGAACTCTTTTCTGAACTCCTCTCGAATGTCTTTTTTTTTTTAGTTGGCTTGGAGTTGGTTTTTTGGGGGGAGAGAGAGGGAGGGGCACGTTGTCGATTGCGGTAAGAGGATTTAACAGAGATCGAAAAAGTAAAGTAAATTTGGGGATAAGTTTGAGATGGATGTTGAGTATTCGTTATTTCACGGATTATTTCGCTAATTTCATCGGTTAGTTTCTTTCCAGATTCGTTTCGAGGGAAGGGGAAGAACGGACGGAAGCGATCGGTAGCGATCTCGTGACTCGTGGGCCGGCAAGGAACGCCGGAATCGAGGTGAAAAATATTCTAGAAAGCAACTAGGGGGCCCTCGTTATATTACGCTCGTAAAGAAAGTAAATATCGCGTGCCGTAATAAGAAACAATTAACGGGAGGAGGAGGAGGAGGAGCGTGTGCCAAACGAAGTGTGCCAAGTTCGGAGCCTCCTTCTGCATGATTGCTGCAACTTGCCGCAGCAGAAGATTTCTTTTGCCTGGTTTCGAGCGTTTAAATAAAAAGGAAAAGAAGAAGGAAAAAAAGACATAACACGCGCGATCTCTTTTTCCTAATCGTAGTGGGAAACTCGTGGTGTCTTAACCTGGATAGAAATAAAAGAATTACTCCAACCCGTGGCTCGTCCATAGATGGAAATGAGAAAACATTCGGGACAGAAGCAAGGATTCAAATACGATTTTATTAAGGAGATGGGATAAGAAGAATCAAATATTTGAACAATGCGGTAAAAAAAGAATCGATTGAGCGTAAAGTAAATAAACGGATTCTCTTGGACGTCTTCGTATGAATCGGTGGAAAGGTGGAATACCGTGCTGTTGCCGTTGTTTGCGTTCCGAAATGATACGCGGCTTCGTGGAGGAACAGTTATTGGTGAAGTTATCGGCGAAATCAAGGGGACAACGCTGCAAGTAACGATATCGCGAGATGTCGCCGAGATCCGAGTAATAAAACTAGGCGGTGGAACGTGTAGAAAAACATACATCCGATATCCGCTTTTCATTCTTGAATCGAGTAGCTCTTGCTACTTTCCCGAAACGGGTAAAAAAGATTCAACGTCGAGTTACGAGATCGAACATATATCGACGATCTGAATCAACTTTGAATTTGAACTTGTTGCGGTAATTTTTTTTTTTCGCATTTCTTTCCAGATCTATTTTTTTTTTTTTTTTATCAGAGTTCGCCTCGAGAGTTTTCGGCCGGTTATTAAAATTTTATTCGACTTTCGACTCGTAAACAACGTCGTCCCCTCGAAACTTTCGAAATATTCAAATTTCCAAAGATAATCGGTCAACCGGTCGATAAATCACCCAGTGAAATCTAATTCCTTCGATCGGTGAAATTAAAATTCGATACCGAAACTAAACCGCTAATCCACATGACCTGAAACGCGAACACCGCCGTGTTCGTATCTGAAATCACCGATCGTAGATTTCGCGCTAGAATTTCCATTTCGAGCCGTGAATCGATCGGTTTGTCCTCGAATCCATATATATATATATATATATATATATCGATTCTTTTCATTCGCGTTGAAAAACTCGAAATTACGGATTGGTTTGTTCGATCGGCAAAATGTTGAAGAAAGAAAAAAATAAAGATAAGAGAAAAAATAAGAGAAGTATGCCAGCCGCGGATTCATATATGGTAAACGATTATTCGACTCGATCTTCCAATCCCCGGAAGGTGTTTTGGTTAAAGGTTCGAGGACCGTTACGTCGAATTCCAATTCGTCAGTTTTGAACGCCCACAGCGTGGGTGATCCGATTTTTCAACGATTTTATTTGAAGATTTTTATTTTTCAAGATTTAACATCGATCGTTGTAAATTTTAAATTGGAAAATTTTTCGCGTAACATAGTAGGATATTATTAATACCATTCAAGTTGTCAATCGTGTGAAATTGGAATTTTTGCGACGTTGTTTATACAACGATCACTTGTATAAATTATTGTACTTCAGACACTGTACCTTAGCTTGGCTTGTTCGAGGCTAATGTTTAACATCCTATCTGTCTTGTGGAGAATATCCACTCATTAAATCGCATCTTATCTAAGTAAACACACCTAACTGACCAGGAAAACCGCAGGTATGTACATCATCGATTACATTCATCCAGGTAAAAGCAGGCATACTTTCGTGCCAAACTCTCGTTCATCCAACTCGACGTATATACATATATTCAGCCTCCCAAGTGTTTTATATTCGATTCATTAACAATAATTTTCCCCTTAAATCCTTCCTCAATTTCATAAGTGACTTCCTTTTCTTTCGTTTTGAAAACGAAAAAATACGATTGCAAAGAGACATTTGTATTCGATAAAAAGTTTTTCAAATCGTAATCTTCGCGAATCGAATAAAATTCTCCATAAATTGGATATTATTCGTTCTATAAAATTTCAATAATTCCGGATTTGGATTTAATAAACAGATTCGCCAATTTAAGAAATCGTTCTCTTCGTCCAATTACGAAACTGACGAGGAATCAAAAAAAATTCTCTTAGGCTCGAGAAAAATAGAAAGAAAAAAGAAAAAAGGATCGCGAACAGTCACGTGCGATCTTTGGTCGATTTGCATTGCTCGAGTGCCTTTGATATCTACCTGTTTCGTTAACTTTCTCCTCGGTAACCTTGTTCCCTCATTTTTTTTTTTTTTTTTTTTTTTTCCCCTCCTCGCTTGATACCACTCGTATCGACGATTTGGTCGACCGTGTCACACGCACGCAGGAAATTTCGCTTCCCTTCCCGTGCATCGAACAGCGTGGACGAATATTATTGTTAATTTCAACATTTGTTAATAGGGATAGAGATGTTCGAAAGAATCACATCGTTGAGGCAGGCCATTTAAAAGTGAAATCATCAACGTTTCCGGCCGTTTATATCGCGATATCGTTGTACGAAACGAAGAGACGATGGAACGAGTTTGCGTCCTGTTTTAAAAATTTCTTTTTCCTTGAATATTCAATAAAATATTATAGAGCACGCTTCGTTCCAGTATTCCAGTATTCTCGAAGCAAGGAGGCTTTGCTTTGCAGAATTCTACTTATACAAAAATTTATATATAACAAACATCTTTGTAACGAGTATTAAATAACAGATACTGAGAAATGTATGAAAACCAACGATCCCAACGAAGATAAATGATCAGCAAGAATGATACTGCGCTCTTTTATATTCAGACTAATTAATTCCTAATTACACAATTCTACTCCCTGAAGAATCTCCTTGAAGAAGGATCAATCGTGTAAATCAGACGCTCGCAATGAGAAGCGACGATTCCATTGTGAGACTGGATGATAAGTAAAAACTGGTTCGTAAAATCGATTGTTTTTGCGCGAGACTTTCCGTGTTTTCCGTGTATCGGCCGTTTCCGCTCTTCTGGCTCGAACGAGGCCACTTGGTCAACAGGTCCGCTCCATCCGATTCTCTGGATCGCGAGTGAGAATCGCGTCGAACCGGTTGCCTCTCGTTCCACCTTTTCTTACGGCGAGAGAGAGAGAGAGAAATGGAGAGAGGAAGAGATAGGAAGAAAGAGAGAAAGAGAGAGACAAGATTTTCACGCGACTTCAAACTTATCGCGCGGTTGCGTTTCATCCATGAAGAAGAAGAAGAGGAGGAGGAGGAGAACGAAAGAATGCGAAGTGCTTCGTTGTTCGATCGAGGAATATTATTTTGGAGGACGAGTGGTTCTCCGGCTGTGTTTGCACAGGTGGAAATGTTTGACGAGAGAAAATGGGGTTTGAGAGAGGGGTGGCGAGAAAATGGAAGTTAATAACGACACTTAGTGGCTTAATGACACGTTATTTTGCGCTGGAAAGAATAAAAAAATCCTTGTGAAGGGAAATCGTTAGATTTAGGTGGTTAAAGTTGAGATACATTTATAAAAATTGAAATAGAAATTACAGAAAACAAAGCTTTTTCGATTCGATCTATCTTGAAATTTGCAAGTTTGGATACGTAAAAATATTATTATCTCTTATCGAGGTTGCAGCGTGTAATTTAGAATTAAAAGTGTCTCGTTGCGAAATTTTTCAGAAAATAAAGAAAAGTACGAGAATTCAAATTCTTATGCTCGATTTGCGTTTACGTTGTTGGGATAATATTTTTTCGGTGGCAACGTATGTTTGCGTCGACGTGCAACGATCTATAAAGATACATGAGCGGTGGCCCTCTGCCGTAAACTTGTGCCGTCCCCATTTTTTTGACGCCTTTGACGATCGTGGAAGGAATGCAGAGAAACATGAAAACAAGTAATCTGATATTAATGAAATTTTATACGGCACTACGCTTCGAGCAAGCTTTCCATTCAAAGAGATATTTCAATGAAACAACGACAACAACAACAACAACAACAACAACAATGTCTTTTAATTCCGCAATAAATTTTGTTATAATCCGTTTTTACTACTTAATTATTAATTTTAATTATTATAAGAAATGCAATACGAGAATAATTATGAAAAGTAAAGAAGTAAAGGCGCCGACTGTTATTCAAATTTTGAGAAAGTTTCCGTATTTTTATTTCGTTTAATAATTATTATGTATATAACGTATGAATCGAATCATACAGCTATAATTAAATTTATGAATTTATTAATTGTCCGGAAAAATAATAAAATCTAAAATCTTAAAATCCTAAATGTATAGAGAATAAATTATCACAACTTGTTATTTCGTACATACTCACGCATACTCACACACACACACACACACTCACACACACACACACACACATAGAGAGAACTTATTCAAATTTATAAATGAAAAGTGGACATAGCTGATCACTTACAATATTCGAACGAAAGACTATTGCGTTCAATGATGGCAATGATTTATAATCTAAAAAAAGAGAGCGTATCGTATCCCTTGGATAAATTCTCAAAGAAACATGAAAAGAAATCTTTTACAAAGATTTCTTCGATACAATTCCATCAAACGTAATAATATAAAAAAAAAAACTGTATCATTGTATAGATACAAAGATATCATAATACTATCATCAGGTGAACATCGAAGAGAGCGAAGATGGATGGAAAATTTTCAATATTCGATTCTCTTTATGACTTTATGAGTGGTAATCTCGATAGCCTCGATAAGCAAGTTCCTGTCCATAGGTGTCTCTGTAATATCCAGTTGGATATTCAGGACCGTGGTGTTCCCCGGGATAAGGATAACTGTTTTCCTTGTGATACGGATAAGCTATGCCACTTTGACTGTACACAGGTGGATGATAAGTCTGTGTAAACGGCTTGTAAAGTTTGAAGAAGCCGATTAAACCGGGTATCACGATCGCAAGGAAGCCTAGAAACTTCTTGAAGGACGCCAGGCCCAGGATCAGAGGCAGGAACAAGAGCAGCTTCAGTTTGAACAGCTTCAACACGAGCAGCATGGGGATTAGAAGTCTCTTGAATTGATTACGAGCTGTTAGAAGAAATACAAGATTAATATTATTTAGAAACAGATCCAATAAGTGTACTTTAAAGTCTTTAAAATTAAAATTAACGTAGAAAGAGATATTGAAGATAATATACGAATGTACACATTTTGGAGAATTATTTTTCGCTAATGAATCTTAAATAGATTGATTTATTTGCTCACAGAAAAGGGTATCCTTTTTGTTCTCAAGAGTATCAATTTCGTCGGCGATTTCATCCAAGAATCGCGGCGCGTACACTTCGTTTTCTCCAGTTTCCTCAGAAGGTACGTGCAATTCGATGGCCACGGTTTTCACGAATTTTTCAATTTTTCTCAGAGCGAACTTCATCAGTTGGTCCCATTCAGAGTCTGTAGACCTGAAAAAGAGAAAAAATTGAAATATTCGTAATTGATAAAAAATGAACTGTGCAGATATATTTTTTGGATACCTGGCTTCGCTGGAGTATTCATACGGTTGACGATCGACCTCCTGCACGATGTCATTCGACATCCTGACGATCTTCACGTGTTCGTTCATATCGTAGCGAGGCTGGTCGAAGAAATCGGAGAAATAACCCAAAGCCTGAGATTTGAAGCATTCAGCTAGATCGCCGTTTAAACATCCTTGATTCGTCTTTGCCACGTAAGGATCCACGTTTCGATCCACTCCGCCTATCCAATCGAAAAGTCCCTTCCCTTGCCGCGTCTTGTTGAAATTCGCCCGTTCTTCCGGCACGTGATTCTCTGAAATTTTCGAAAAATCGAAAAATTCTCGAATTAGATCGATTTACAAATTTCGAAACCTCTTTCTTCGTTCTTTCGAAATTGTCTCGTAATTTACTTTCCAATATTTCGAAATTTTCCATTCGTGTCAAAATCGAACGTTTCCAAATGACTCACCGCGTGCCTCGGATCCGGAAGTTCCATCCTCGAATGTGACCGACAGACACGGTACCAACAGCGTCAACAACACCACGTAACCTATCGTTACCGGCAATTGCACTAGTCGCATTCTTCTGAACGTCGCACGAATCCTGCAATCACCTTTCCTTTATCGACACACTCGCGAAAACAACATCCTCTCTCAACGCGAAAATATATACACGAATACGCACGACATGATGGTATCCCTTAACGGGATACCATTTCTTGGCCAGAAAGAAACGGTCGCTGCACTCTTTTTCAACTCGAGCGGAAAGGAAGGAATAGAAAGAGGAAAGAAAAGGAGGAAATGGGGGAAACGAGTGACGTTTGGAAAATGGATCGCGCTCTGTCTCTAAAAATCCTCGTCTGGAGCGACTGGATCGGGTAACGACATCGATTCCACGATTCCAGGGGGAGGGAAAAAAAAAAAAAAAAAAAAAAAAAAAAAAAATAGAAGAGAATCACGGCGATCGTGATTCACGAACCGCGGTCGAACGTCTGTCGGGAGACCCAACAAGTTGGATCGTTAACCACGCGGCGGATCTCCAAGTTCCGTTACCTCGGCGGACCAATCGCGAGTCCTGGTTCAAAGGAACCGGGTCCGTAACCTTGTATTCCGGTCGCGCGTCCATCGCATTCGTTACGCCGATCACGCATTCTCTTTAACCGAATTCACCGTGTGCAGCTAATATCCTTTTCTTAATTGTAACGTTTCTAATTACTAGATTAATATTTAATTTAATCTTGGCTTTGAGGAAATCGATTCGTGAATTAGTTAGTCGCGTCGATTTTAATTTAATCAAGTAATAAAGTTCGATTTTATTATATTATATATATATGTATAATATAATATAATAAGTGACTTGGATATTGGATTTTTTTTTTTTTTTTGGAATTGTCAGTCAGAGAAATCTCACAATGATCGAATTTTTTAACGTAGAATCTCTTTTTTTTACATTTGTATAAAAATTGGAAGATTTTCATCGGACAATCGTGCGACGAAATTGAATCGAATTTTGAGTTTCGAAAAAGAGAAAAAAAAAGTCTCACCTTCTCGATGGAAGAAAATGCAATGGAGGATGGACTTAGAGACGATCGGCACGCTCGTCTGTTCCTCTTTATTTATATACGAGAGGAGGCTCGTGGAGTGAGAGGAGAAGGATTCGTAGGTTGTGATTCGTGCGGGGGCAGAAAAGGGAGCATGTAAAAATCGAAAGTGAAAGCCGGTCCCCGGATGCGGGATCCGGAACAAGTCGGTTTCGAGCGAGCAGGGAGGAGCAAGAGTGATGACGAGAACGAGAAGAAGTCGTTGGACTTTCCTTCGTAATCCACGTTCGAGAGTGCGTCATCGAGCCTGCTCCTTTCGTTTTCTCCTCCCGTCTTCTCCAACATATATTCGTTCAACTCTTCGTTCTTTCGAAACTGTGAATTCTAGATATTCGATTACTATCCTTTCGTGGAAACGAAAAATTGGCAATCGAGACTGGAATACAAAATTTTTTTCGCTCATTATTAATCCCGAAACGAAAATATTTTTATATCTTTCGATAAAGAAGCTTTCTTTCTTTTTACCGAGCGTTGATGATATTCGTGAAATAGCTTTGGAGGATGAATAAAGAAAATTGATTGATCGAAAAAAAAAAAAAACAATTTCCTTATCCAATTGTTAAAACTGCAATTTCATTTCGTATATAATTCTTCGAATTATAAATAATTACGTATGTTTGTTTGTAGAGAAGAAAAATCCTATCCTCCAAAACTATGAACAAATATATCAACATCCTGTATAATATATAATTGCATTGAATTAAATTCCAAATTACTGTGAATGGTGTGTGCCAATATGTTTTCGTAACGGAAAAAAAAAATAAAAATAAAAATAAAAAAAAAAAAAAAGAAAGAAGAAATCGGTAGCGCATTCACAATTTTATTGACGCACTGTACAAAGAACTCGGTTGACCCAGAAGTCGGGCCGACTCTCTCCGACCCTGATGGAAATATCATTATATTAATAAATAATAGTTTTGCCCGGGAATATTCATATCATCCCCGCGCTCGATTGATTAATTTAAATTAATTAACAGCCAAATAGTCTCGCCCTTGGCTTAAAATAAATAAATAACTAAATCTTGGATCCGGCCCTGATTATCGCGAATAATTAAATAACTAAATTAAATTAAAAGAAAGAAAAAGGTGTTCGTCACGATCTCCAACTCCACCGTGTGATCATTAGCTAATCTTGCCGATTAATTAATAAATCAAATGGAATTGCTTTTCTTTGCCTTGGAAAACCGTGGTGACGTTACACATCACATACCATGATTTTCCACTCCTTCGACTCTCGATCGAATTTAGTCTTTGAATCGTCGACGAACGAATCATCGTTTTAAAAAGAAGAAAAGAAAAATTATTTTAAGAATCACTTTATTCAGATCGTATTATCTAAATATTATCTACTAATGAACGAATCGTCGGCGATTCAAAGATAATTAACGAGATATCTTATATTATAAGAAGAGAAACACGCGTGTAAACTGTTTTCCTCCTGATAAATCGTGCGTGTCTCTTCTGATCGAGTAATAATTATTCGTCCTCCTATTGCGCAACGTAACGAAGAACACGCGTTTCCAGCTATCGTGTACCGTTATCGACGTTTCTTTTTTTTCGTTGCCAGCCTTCTGCCCATTTAATCGGGACGAAATTGCTTCGGTTTAACTGTCTTTGATCCGGACTACCGGCCATGTAATTGCCCTGTGAAACGATCCGTCATCGTGTACGTAGATACACAGGCACCTAGGAGCTGTGGATGCTTCGAGACTTGAGATTTCTTTTAATCCTTCGAATCTTTCTGAGCTGAGGAAAAGAGAGTTTCGTGGAGATTTCGATGCCCGCATAGAACTGGATTAAATCATCTTTGAATCGATATCGTGTAAGATAATCTAGATCTAAAAGAAAAATACTTCTCTTCAAACTATTGTGAAGAATCGGACTCCGTTATCTGGTTGGAAAGCTAAGAACGCATGCTCGAAACGCCTCGCTCATCAGGTACCCGTGCACGAAAAAAATATTTATTCGATTGGATCACGACCGGCTCGAAAATCTCTTCGAAGACTTTCGAAACTTGTCGAGGAAAGATTCGATCACACTCGTTTCCATCTTCCTCGTTCTTACAACTTCCTCGCGTGCACCAGTTTGTCGATGTCCTGATACGTGGCCAGCATCGCCTGATTCTGCCTCAGATTTTGATCTTCCCTCGCGATCGCGCAATTGGAATAGGCCACCTCGCACTTGACGCCATCCTGGCCGTCCTTGGCCGCCTTCATGTAACGGAAGAACCTGAGCACGTCAGGATTGTCGCTGCTCGGCCTCCTCAGCTCGTTCAATTCCCTGGACAATTGCGCCGAGACGAGGTTCGAGTACGGCGCGTATCTGGCCGGGCTTCGATACATGGCGCACACCGCGTACTCCCTGCAACCTTCGGTCGTGTGACCGAGGCGCGAAAACACCGCGTCCAGGCGCGACAATAGGGGGGAGTAGAAAGGATCGTAGTTGGTCAACAGCAACGAGCTCGTTGGAATCTCGTGGAACACCTGAAAGAGTTTATTAAACCGTTGAATTTCTTTCTTTCTTTCTTTCTTTCAAATCCTGATTGATTGAGAAAATTGTGTAAATGAACTGTGTAATTGGTAAATGGCTGAAGGATATATAAAAATATTTTTTTGAATGTGGAAGGTGTTATATATTGAATTTAAAAAAGAAATAAATTGAAGAGTATACTCCTTACCTTGAAATCTTGCTTTTTAGAAAGTCCATTAGCAGCGACGTGCCTGGTGTAATAACGATCAGCGACTGCATTAGCATGCGTCATTCTGTGATCGGTGAAAGAATATCTCGAGGCGATTTCCGGTGTCTTTTGTGACTGCATCATGGTTTCGTCGTACATGGCGGAGGCCGGTAGAGTTCCAACAGGTTGCCTGGTCAAATAATCATCGTTGTACAGATCTGAATTATCCTTGAACTCGAAATTCTCTTCGGGTTGGGCCGTGGTGTGCGACGATTGGGCGAACGAAGAAACCCCTAAATGAGAAGAGATTGATCACGTGAATTTAACGCTTTTTTAAAACACTCGATGGAATAAATTTGTGGAAAAAAAAAAATTTTCTAGAAAGAATTGGGAGAATTGCGAGAAGACGAGGGTACGAATATTCACCTTTGCCAACGATATTACCGATACTCCCTATGATACTGGGCAGGAAAAGTGCGAGCAGGACGCTCTTAATGATCTGTACACCGAAAATCAGAGGTAGCAGCAGCTTCTTCAGGCCGAATGCTAGAAAACCAAGTCCGAATCCTGTTAAAAAGGAACTCTTTCCCTGAAAGATGGCTGAAAGCAAAAGTACCAGCGTATTAAAGCACTGCGGTTAGTCCTGTAAGCCATGCTGCTGCAGCCATCGCGTCTATTCTTTCTCTCTTTCTCTCTCTCTCTCTCTCCTCTCTCTCTGAAATTTCACTCGAATCGTGTAATCGAAATTTTTTAAGCGACCAATATCGACGTAACGATTTCGATTAATATTTGCCAATAATAAATCAGCAGGTGGCCAAGCTAATTTTTTTTTTTTTCAGCGAGAAAGCTAAAAAGATCGGTGGTGCGTTCGTGAAAAGCGGAATTCTTCGGCGGTCCATCCGTCGTTCGATCTTTGTGCGTGTACGTGCAACGACTTTCTTGCAAATTTCTTTCTCGCCTTACGGGCCTCGATCGTATCATCGATCATCCTCGAAAATCGTCCTCGAAAACTCGACGAATTTAACGAAATACGGAAAGTAGGCTTCCACCAAAACGCTATACTTTTCTTTCTTCCCTCGAAAATTTATTTTATACTTTTACTTACCGCTACAACGTTTTACAGAAGGAAAAAAGTTCGAACAATTTGCCTACTTTCTCGGACGGAGGAGATCGTTTCCTGGCGGAACTGCAACAACGGATAGAGAAGTGAATACCGATCGAGACCCGGCCAGCCATTTTCCGTATCGATCGGTGATCGATTCCATCCGCGTGTGATAATTGAAAAATTCGGACGAAGATCCATAAGCGAACATCCATAAAGGCAAATCCGGCAAACATTGAATAAAAATAGAACCACGGCGCTCTGAAACCACCTCTCCCTTCCGGTGCGAGGATTACGAAAGCGTGACACGTTCACGCGGACTCACCGTTCAAGAAGTTTCTAGCTTTTCTACCGGCTACTAACTCCTTCCTCGGACCACGTATCATTACCACGTGCTCTCTCGCGTCCTGCCGCCTCTCCTCTTTACCTTTTTCGCCCTTCCTCCCGTCCCCGCTCCCCATTATCCGCGACGCGTCCGTCGCGTTGTTGTCGAGTGGATCGTTTCCAAGGACGCGCGAGCCAGGAATCGCCCCTTCCTCTTCCTCTTCCTCTTCCTCCTCTGGAAAATCGTGAACGTTGGTCGAGTTCTCCTCGACCCGGTATCGGGATCTGTCGTCCGTTTCGACCATTTGATTCACGTTCACGTCCAGCTTCGTAGGTTTGCCGGGCACGGTTTGATGCGGGTGGTGGTGACGGTCCGTGGCCTCGCCGCTGGTGAACGAAACCTCGTTCTCGACGGGTTGGTCGAGACGGTGGCTGGTCTCGTTCAAGGCCGCCACGTGGTCCTTGACCCCGGCCGCCAGCCACGCGGCCGCCAACATCCACAAGATCCTCGTCACACGCATCGTCCCCAAGCAAGCGCTCCTCTGACCCTCTCTCTCTCTCTCTTTTCCTCTGTCTATCTCTATTTCTCGCTCTCTCTCTCTCTCTCGCTCTCCTCTCGGCTAGCTTTTACTGCCGAAATGTAGCTGCATGTCTGAGGCTCGTTCCCTCCCTGGAATAATTTCGTTTGTTTCAATTGAATTGAAATGAATGAAAGAACACGGTTTATTTAATATTATCTTTAAAAAGATTTTTTAAGTTTGTTAAAACTGTCGAGAAAATTAAGATTGGATAGATACGTGTATTTGTATAGATTGTTACGTAATTTTTTGTGTATTTGTGATGTAAGGGGACACGAAAGTTCTATTATTAGCGATAATTTAACGTAATTGTGAGACGTGATTGTGATGATTATAGTAGTTAAATTGCACGTGTGTTTCGTATCGAAAATAAGAAAAGTGCACAGCGTGAGAAATCGTGTCTCGTAAGCTTTTACACTTGCACAAAGATACGGTAAATAGCGTAACAGTATCGATTCTGAATAAAAACAACACGATCCCGATGCAACGGATCTCTGAACGGAGGTAATATATATATATATATATATATACACCATGTTTACCTTTATATCTGCTTCGAGTGTAGAGAGATATTCGTTCAACAGGATCGCCGATTCACGATCCTGGTTCGTTGGTTTCGTTTCGAGAGAAGAGACAATCCGCAAATCCAGAAGAATTGACACCAGATTCTTTCTTCCTCTTCACGTCACGACACGACGTAAACGGATCCGGTCAGCCATCGAAGTGTATATCCTTCCGACCGACTCAACGTAATTCAACGATTCCTCTAAGCAGAAATTTTTATTATCGAAGCAAGCACGAACGACGCAAGCACGCGTGCAACAGGCGAATAATCGAGCAAACCCGTTCGAGAACCCGTACACTGTGGTCGACTCGAGCGCGACTGGCGAGTCTCTCCTCGTAGGATCGGTTGGGCAGATCCGATCTGGGTTACCCGGCCATTCGTCTGCCCGTCCCTCTGTTCCTTCCTTTCCACCTTCGTTCTCCCCGTTCATTCGCCGGTCCAACTCCCGCCACGCATCGCCCGTCTCCTTTCGTCCACCGCGCGGAACGCCACCCGTCCTCCTCTCATTCAAATCCAATCGAATTCTCGACGCGGGTCTAAGTGACGATCGCCGGACCGATTTCACCGCTTGGAATTTCGGCTGATTCGTTCCTTTTCTTGTTTTTCTTTATTTTTTTTTTTTTTTTTATCGTCTGCCCTTTACTCTTTTGCTCTGATTTTTTAATTAGTTTGGTCTTTTTTTTTTCAGTGGTTTTTGGAATTACGAGGAGACGTGGTAAACAGGAATTTTGCTTTTATTTTCCTCATCGATCCAATTTTTCAACGTAGAAAGCCCAGCCCCCCTCGAAGAGAAATCGAATCTCACGCGACGCGAGGTCGAAGCTCGCGCGGAAAGCTCGTCGTGGAAAATTCCCGGCGTAAAGCGCTTCTTTCAAGTGTCGTTGCACCATCGACACGAATAATCGAGCATTTTTAAAATTCAAGTAGGCCGCTAATCCGGTTTTCAATTTATTTTTCTCTCCCCCCGTGGGTCGAAAAGATCCCGCAGTGGATAAAATTTCTCACTCGCGAACCTCGTCTTTCCTCTGTGATCGACAGAGATGGAGAGAAGGAAGGAAAGAAAGAAAGAATGTCAATGTTAACTACGCTAATCAATAGAAAAGGGTGTCTCGAGGAAGTTCAAATAGACTTTGTTTCGTCGCGCGCACTCTCACGATTTCACTCGCGGTTTTGTCCCATTCCTTGATTCGTGCGCGCGCGTGCCAAGGAAAATTCGATCGGGCGCGCGATAAGAATTTCAATCCCTGGAAATCTTCGCTCACCAACGTTGAATTTGGGTCGAGGAAGATTTTTTATTCTCGTTCATCATGGTATTGAGGGATGGTTGAAGGTAAAATTGCCGTTCGGTTCGAGTTTAAGCGAGCAAGTTTCAAATTTTTAAATTCGATTCGGATCGAAAGTATACGTGGTTAAAGTGGGTACACGCGAGGATGATATGGTACTTTCTCACGACTCACGGGTTAAAATGGTAAAAATTTATTTGGTTTGGAAACTGGGTCGTGTTTGGAATAATTCATCGCCCACGGATTTGAGGAAGACAAACGTCGTTGTTTTGTCAACCAGAATCGATTATGGTGTTACGAAACGATAGACGTGATTCGATTTTCTGAATTATAAGTCGAAATTATACGTGGGGAGAAGTAAGAAAGATTTATCTCGTAAAAAACGAAGAGAATCGAGAGAAGGATGGTCATCCTCTAGAATATAGTATAATGAATAGGTAATTAACGAAACACTTTATATAGATCTCTGTTGAGATAGCCAACAACGGAATCTGTTGATGAATAATTCATCGATTTTTGAATAGATAAAACACGGATATGTTTATCGCGGGAGAAGAGATTCCAAAAAATACCAATTACTATATAGAAAGCAATCTATTCTAACCTCCTCTCTTTCGATCAGACTCCCCCCCCCCCATCCCCTCCCTATGCATGCATAAATTTCCCAACAACGAATGGCAAAAGAGAGCAAAAGATGTTTCAAATTCTTCTTTTTACATTCCTCGGATATTACAAGACATTCAATTAAGAATCTATATTACTAACCTATATTATACCTGTATTTAAAAATAGAATAGCAAAAATTCTTATTCTTATTTCTCCCCGACTTTGAACAGAAAACCTGATAAGAAATTTACTCGACTGTATTTCGAGAAGAAAAATTTCGCTCGCAACACTTCGCAACCCCTGGAGAAACCCCCCTCGATTCTCGCCATCGGGGAGCGCCGTTATGTTAATACTCCGGCTTCGAACGTAACGGTGGAGTACGTACGGCGCAAGCGCAAGCTGCGTGTCGGTCGCCGTCTCGCGCCGACCGTTCCACCCGATCGGCTGCAATCATTGTTATTAAACGCGACGGATGGTATTATCGCGTGGAACGATCGGCGCCGCATCCATCTACGAGCATGCCTGTACAACCGGCCCTGTAACGGTCGTGCCTCCCGATCGCACGCGGGTCACCGTGCGGAAGCGCGCGTCACGGGGAGCCACGCACCGTCCAAATCTGTCAGTGGGTCATTGGTGCGCCGCGCCTTTCCACAAGAGTTTCCAGTCGACCTTGACCGCCATCCTGCCCATCGTTCGCGCCTCGTTCCATGCGTTTGGAAAATTTTTGGCAGAGGAAGAGGGGAACTTTCGACGGAAATTTCGTATACGAAGAAGAAATCGTGGAGAGATTACAACTGTACAAATTGACTTTCTTTATTCAAAAATTAAGAGGAACGTGATGGCGAAGGGTAAGTTTAGTGAGTTTTTCTATTTGCAAGTAATCTTGTCCATCCAATTTTATTTTATGAAAATATATATATATATATATACATATTAGAACTAATTACAACTAATTCAATTAATTCGTTTCAGAGAATAATAAATGTACGTGAAACGAGATTTTTCACTCAACTTTATTAACAGAATTTTTTCGTCCAAATCGTCGGGACCCAAGTAACGTAATTCACAAAAGTACGCGTCTTCCCGCGTTCTTGGAAAGCCTGTTACAAGCCTCGTTACGTTATCCCGGAAGTGGGCATCACGCGAGGTCGTTGGCGAATTCCTACGGATTTACGGTACACCTAATCAATTCGAGAAACGAATAACTCGCGTGACGTATACGCGAAAAAAGAAAAGAAAAATCCGCTTTGATTACGTGCGCCTCGTTACAAATAATGGTAACGGTACTTGGCAACGTGTGAAAGTCATTTCTCGCCGGGTGGAAAGCGATCGATAATCACCGCTAAATACGATGTCCCTTGTGTTAAGAAAGTGTTTAGAAAGAGGAAAGAGCGAGCAGAAGAAAGGTGGAAAGATGTGTCCGAGCGAGATTTGGCACGAGTTGAGATGAATCTTTTCTTTTTGGGTTTTAGTTTTCTAGCTTCATCCATACGGGTTGCGGTAGGCTAGATAGGGAGAACCTTGTTGATAGTCGTTTCTGTGAGACGGCCAGATTTCCTCTCCGTATCCTGTGGACAAAAATTCCATTACCAATCGAATTGAGACACGGAACTGAATAAATATTGGAAATATTCTAAGTAATTTTGTGACGGTGTGTATTATTATCGTGAAAAGTTATTTTATTTTATTTTATCTTGTGTAAAGGAGCGAGGTAAGGAGGGCAGATTAGTCGATCTCAGCCTAGAAAACGGGGGATCGGTTACACTCGACTAATCTCTTTTTTTTTTTTTTNTTTTTTTTTCCATATTCCAGAGAAAATACGTGCAATTACGGTGGAAATCACTGCGATCATCGCACGAGATATCATTGGAATCGCTTCTCGCCCATCAATTCGAGGGATCATCGAGCGTGTTATATAACTGTGGTTCGCGAAAGAGGTATTGTGTCATCGGGCACCGCACGATTACATTATTTATACGCGCGTTATTTCGACCAATCGTCACGGTCGTGTCGGTCTTAAAATCGTGCCTCGTAATATCGTACACGTTCCAAAATGACAACGAACCGTGACACCACACCGGTGAGAAAGGTAAAGGCGGTCGCATTTTCTGCTTCGAATTTACCTGATGGATAATCGATCGGCGCCTCGGCGGCCGTAGTCCACAGGTGGTGGGGGTAAGCTTGATGATAGGGCTGCGACATTTTGCAGATCTTGAGACGCGTGAACAGTATCGGGAGGAGGATCGAGGCGATCACTAGGATCTTTTTGATGAAGTGAACGGCGAGGAAGATGGGCACTATCCAAAGTTTCAGCTTCATCAATTTGAAGAGGATCAAGAGTGGGAGGATCAGAGCCTTCTTGTGCTTGATCCCTCGCCAAGCAGCTGTCAAAATGGAAATTTATTAAAAAGAAAGGATCGGTCGAAATCCTTTTTATTATTAATATTTCTGTTATTCTTATTCCAATCTCTTTTGAAATCTCTTTCGCGTTGAATCAAATTTCGATCGATCGGATTATTCGTCAAGATTATTTTCAATTTCCATTCGAAACACTTATTTTTTTTTTTTTTTTTTTTACTTATTTCTGCTCGTTTATAGGTAAAAAAGGGGTTGAGGAAGGAGTGCAAATTACCGTCGGATATGCCCCTGCTCTCCATCCGAGCGAGTTGATCCTCGTCCACGATCATAGGCATAGTGCCGAAACTTCTCGCGGAAGCCGTGTTGTCGATCGTGTAAACGAAAGCTCGTTTCGTAATAAGATCCTCAGCCGTGTCCCTGGCGAAGTTCAAGGCCTCCATTATGCCGGTCTTGAACGCGCGAGACTCGGGCAATTTCGGGATAACCGGTTGCTGCGACAGTGACGGGATTCTGACGATGCGGATCGCGCCATACTTGAATTCCTAACGAGGTTTCAGTCATCCATTAATCATTATTTTATCATTAAAAAGAAATATTACGAAAATTAACAAAATAATTAGATATTTATTAATAATTGGATTTCTTTCTCATTCGATCCGATTTGAGTGTAACGATAGATCAAAAAGGGGGAATGATAAATGAAAAATCGTGTGGCGTGTTCGATCGTTATAATGGTATTAAAAAGTAAAAGTCTAGAAAAGTAAGAGAGAGGATCGTGTGTCTCGATACTCTCGCCGCTGCACGAACGCAGCGGATTATAATAACGGTTTGTTGTAACGAAATCGTAATGCAATGCTTCAATCAAATTGCTGTCGTTAATTTTACACGAAAAATATCTTGTGGAAAAGATTGCTTCGTTTTTACGAATAATGAATAAGGAATGAACGAGTTTTATTGAAGAACTAGTGCATGAAATTTCGTAATCCAAAAATTATTTAACGCCACGCGATTCTCATTTATAATATTTTGAATTGAACAAAAATTTGAAAATACTCTTTGAATATTCTAATAAGTATTTCAATCTTGTAAAAGAAAAAAAAAAATTCGACGAATCCTTACCTTCTCCATCGCGATGTCGTTCAACCATCTAACGACCCTGAACTTGCCGCAACTTATAAGATCCTTGTGCGACGCGCAATCAGCTCGGCATCTCTCGACGTACGTCGAGTTGTTGTTGTTGTTGTTGTTGTTCGAATTGAAAATGTAAGAGGACGTGGTCGACGAGAGACAAAATATCGTCACCAATAAAATTCTATGGAAGCAATTCAGCCTCGAACCACGACTCATGACTCGTTGAACGAAGAACACCATCACCGAATTGTTCATCACCTTGATTTTTATTCTGTACACCAATTTTTTCCACGGGTCTCCCTTTCCATGATTATTCCCGAAGAAGAATGGTTCCTTTCGATCGATGGATCGAGCTCGAGCACGAGCACCGCCTCTCTCGGCCGAGGATGAAAATGCAGGATGATCGAGAGATTAAGTCCACTCACTATCTGACATCTTAGAAGGTGTCTTGACCATTTATATCTGGTGCATTTAGGTCGGTGGGGGTACCGGCTTAGATAATCTTGCAGCAGAGACTGGAGCTTGATTCTGCACGCGCAGTTTGTGAAAAGGCGAACGATCTCGATGGAACCGGCTGTGAATTGGATAAGAAACTTCTGAGGATCAGAAGTCAGAAATGCGACTCGTCGTTTTTCAATGGGAATCGTTGAATCGTTTTGTTCGATCGAGCAAGGCAAAAAGTCCTTGTTACAAGTATGGAAATTTTGTTATTGTTCAGTTATTGTTAAATTTGAAAGGAGAATCGTAGAATTTTGATTATTTTTAATCGTTGAGTTTCTTGTGAAAAAAAAGAATGCATTAATATTCCATTGAAATTTCTATATGATTATCAGTGATAATGTGGAACAGCTTGTCTAACGAGTAAGAAAATGGAACTCAGTCAACCTCTTTCTGCGACCGGTTTATATACCCTTACCTGTTTTTCTAAACTATTTTCGATCGAATTAAAATAATTAGGTAATAAGATATGCATATAATTAAAAAAAAATGGCGTTAATAATTTCAAGATAACGATAAAAATATTAAGAATTTAATTATTTAAGAAATCTTTGAATAAGAAGAAAAAATGTATATTTAATGATTCGAAGAAAATAATATTATTATTTATTTTCTATACAAGAAGAATAAAAAGATTGATACACTTTGTAATGATTCAAAAAAAAGAAGAAGAAAAAGAAGAAGAAGAAGAAAGGACATACTCCAAGATTTGAAAATCTATGGAAATTAAAAAAAAAATTTATATTTAACAATTCGAAGAAAACTACAAGTACAACTACAAGAAAAGAAAAGGAGAAAAATTATGCCTTAAAAATTCGAAAATCGTAATAAAAGTCTTAATGGCACGGTAAACTTGAGGTCAGAGAGTAAAAAGATTCAAATTTGTCGATTCGAGGAAGGAAAGAAAAGAAATTATCACGATTGTTCGCGATTATTCGCAAGGAGAGCAAGAAAATGTTTTGCAAGCTTTCTCGTTCCTTCTGAATCTTTACTTTTGCTTATCTAACTGGTCGTAATCAGTGACACAGATTTCTTAATGACCCGTAACATCTTTAGACAACTCGAATATTTTTACGATACGGTTTCAAATAAACCGTGCAAACGAGAATTTACAAGATTCAGTTAAAAAAGAAGAAAAAGAAGAAAGAAACAAAACTGGTAAAAAGTAGTTTAGTGGTCGTCGATCAAATCTTGTTATCCTCGCAAAATATTCGTAATTACGTGTAATATTTTTCTTTATTCGTCCACTTCCTTTACCCGACCAAACCGTATTCCATTCCTTTTACTTTTCCAGGAGAAAATTTCTACACCGTTTCCCTTAACGTGATTCGAACTTTATTCGATGGCAAGGATAAATTTGTTCCTCGTCGATCGATTTAATTTGTCCGAAAATAATTCTGAAAATCCTCGGATGTTAATAAAATACGAAAAACATACAATTTTATTATACAATCTTTTTATTATCGATTAACTTCGATAACGTAATAATTAATATTTTGAACAATTTGTATTTTTCATCGTGTGCGGATCGTGATCGAATTTTCACTTTCGAGATTAAGTTATTTATAATTTTAATTACTGTAAATAAATCTCTTTTCTCTTTTCAAAGAGAAAATTTTTTTTATTAATTCTATTTTATTATACAGAAGTGAAATTCTTCTTAAAAAATCACATTGTTAGATAAAGTACATGTAAATTCTGAAGCTGAGAAAAATTCGAAGAAACTGGATCGATGAATTTCATCTCTAATTTTATTTCGATTTCGATTCTAATTTTTTGCACGTTTGATAACACTCCAACTAGAACTATCGTATTTTATTTTCACGCATAAACATTACTCTTAAACACTTTCTTACGTTCTTTCGGTCTCTAAGAATAAATCGTTATTTAATCCTGCTTGTCCGTTTTCCAGCCATTGATTACGCTATCAAAAGAAGTATTTCGATTTTTTATTTGGATTTCTCGTATGTACGTGTATTCTCTATTTTTATCCTGTATCCCGTTTCTCTTACGAATAAAATCTTGAATTGCTCCACTGTCGTTGATCTTTATTAAACAATGTTAATAGTTTGTAATATTTCATATTTCAGGTTTCGTGTTTCTTTTTAATCAATTAAATATTGCAAATATAATTATTAATTTATTCTATATAATTGATCAAAAATTGAATGAATATATATATATATACATATATTTTTTTTTTTTTTTTTCAGAAATGAAAATGTTGTTTTAAAGAAAAATGTTTGATGGAATCAAGCGACCCGGATGTAAATAAAAATAAATAACTATTGGTACGAAGAATTAATAAATAACAGGTTTATAGAATTGATCGATAAATCAAACAAAAAGTGGAAGCAGAACGAGCAGCTTTGACTTTAGATATAAAAATCCAGGCCTCGTCCGATGTCTGGAAGGCAGAATCCTTGGATGCGCCATGTCTCTAGCTATGTAACCTGCTTTACAATTATATTTTTTTTTTTTTTATTTTGACCCACTTTTGTGTAATTGTCCACAGGATATGACGATAATCCAGTTTGACCACCGCTTTTATAGATAATTCCTGCAAGGATTTTTGCAAAAAAAATAAATATTTCATTCTCTTCGTGGATGAAGATGATTTCTATTGGATTTAATAAGAAGAGAAAATTGTGAATGAGATTGTTTATCGATTATCGCTGCAGGTATTCGTTCAATTCGTTGTATTAATTACGGAGTCGAATCTTTCTAAGATTCAAATTTTCTTTTTCTCCTTCTTTCTATTTTTTTTTTTTTTTTGTGATCAATCAAACGTAAACAGATAAGTTTCCATAAAAATTAGAATGCGGAATAAGCATAAGATCGAGTACAATTTGCATAATCGATCCGTAATCGTACAAGTAATAAGGTTAATAATCATATTTAATCTCTCAAATCACCATACTTGCGATCAAAAAGCTTATTCTGTTCAATTGGTTTTATAATAACGACTTTGCCATTTCTATAACACATTATTAACGTACATCGATGTATAATGTAAACTTATCACACGGATATAACATGTTCATATCGTGTTAAATACGATACGAGTGAAATAATACTACGAGATAATATTACCAACATAACATATGATAAGTGACAATCATTTAAAGAATTATATCATAAACATTGAACGACACAGAAGATGAGATAAATAAACAAAATTCGACAATATCCTTTCTTCTCCTCCTCGTAGCAAAATTCGTAGAAATCCATCATAAATAAACACATCGCAACGAATTTTATTATTTATTATCGATTAACGAAGCCACGCCATGGATACTTTTTTTTCTTTCTTTCCCAAAGAAACAATGTCGAACGACACAACGATTCTTCCCTCGTAAGAAACGTAAAGGGGGGACAAAAAAAAGAAAAAAAAGAAAAATTGACGTCAAACAAGACTGCGCCACATTTCACGGAAACGGAATCAAGACGTTTCGAATCAACGAATTGGGATAATAAAAAAAAAAAAAAAAATAATAATAATAATAGTCCTCCTGGTTCGCATAATTTGCGAATAATTTCATTGTTTCGAAGCAAACTCGAGCTATCGTTAGAAAATATCGTGGAAAGGAGAAGGCTCCTCGTCATCGTTTACGGTTCGCTCATCGTCCTACGTTCGCTGCTTCCAATTGGCCTCCATTTCCGCGCCAATAGACGCGCCCCCTCCCCCCCATAGATCTCGTATGCACGATTGCTCGGGAACGCGATCCATAAACGATATAATTCCGCCCCGGTGAAAGTATCGATCGTCGATAATTATTGAACTTCCGGATAAGAAGAAGGATCGTTTCATTTTTATTCTCAATACGAAGCGAGGCAATCATTATGAAATTATGCCGTTTATGGCATGGAATCAGAAGATATAGTTAAGCTCGCGAAAAAAGAAATGCTCGGTAAATTGATCGGTAAAATTGATCGTCTGTTGATACCTGGATGGACGACGTGTGGACGCGTGAAAATTTCACGGCCTGAATACTGCGTCGTAAAAAACTTGTCCCCTGTAAAAAAAATAATATGGATCCGGATTATTGAAAAGAAGAAGTAGAAACGGAATAATTATTACATTTTAGAATTCTTAATTTTAGAAACTAGAGTATGCTGGAGTATTTTTTTTTTTTTTTTTTTTTTTTTTTTCTTTAAAAAGGGATCAAGAAATCAGCAATAATGAAAAAGTGTAAAGAAATTAATTATTTACTTTTATTTTTTAATTTTCTAGATTCACTTATACTTACTGTGGATAAGAAAATGATTTTTGAATCCATTTTCAATTCCAATTATCATGGTTTTATCGAAAATCTTCTTAATTTCACTTTGTGATAAGCGATTAAAAATGAGGCTTGTATCCAGAGCAGGATATTCGATAAGACATTGACGTAACTAACTGGTTTGGTGATAACTAATTGATTTTTCGTCTTCTAAAAACTCGAGTAAGTATTTCAAATCATTCAAATCATTTGTTGTCATTTGCGAACAAAAATTTCTATTATTAAGAAAAACGTTAAATTATTATTTCAATATTAATTATTTAGAACGCATTTAAACATTTAATATATATATATATTTTTATTATTTTAACAAAAACTTGGAAAGCTGGTATTAAAGTACAGGCTAATATATATTTATAAATATCCTATTTAAGCTTCATCAATTTAATCACCCAAAGTTTTTACCGGTAGAATTAACATTTATGTTTAGACAATAGTGGTGGATGCGCGCATAATCGGCGCATAATGATGCAAATTACAATTTCCGCGTACGTTTTCTTGCCTTTCGTTTTCGATTTCAGTTGCACGGTACGTGCGATGAACAAGTGGGGCAACAAGTGTGAGATGAACTGGCTGATGATCGCAAGCCTTAAAGCCGGCGCGTTTTGACATAATCAAAAAGATTAAAACGTTTAATTACAAATTCCGAGCAGTGATAAATACACACTGTGAACGACCTCGATTCTCGATTAAAGGAAAAATATGAGGCAAAAATATGCTACATGAAAATTGAAACAGGACGGTGCAATAAATGTCCGATAAGATATTTCTGGCCTGGAAAGAACACGTGCTCGCCCCTTTCAGTTATTAATTTTTAACGTTTCTTCGCCATTTATTATACGCGTTGCGCGGATAAAACGAAGAATCAAACGTGTCGCTTGTGAGCGAAATGAAATTCGAGAGGAATTTTTACGAATCGGTAAATCATCTGTGAATTAAGAAATAAGAGGTAAGAAAGTATATAGAATAGGAATATAGAAGAAAAGTTAATAAAAGAGAAATGGAACGATTGGTGATCGTGAAACGATGAAAAATGGAGGTATTTGGTATTTATGAGATTTTTTTTTTTCCAACTGACAAATAATTATTAAGCTTAAACTCGAATTGGATCAACGTGTCGCAATTTGATTAATTAATAAATTAACATTATAAAACCGAGAGTGGTGAATTTTCATACGGGATTCCCTAAGAAGGCCGCGTCTTCGTTCATTTTTTTAATTATCAAGAAAAGGGATAAGACACTGTCAAAAAAGGACATATATCAAAAACTGGACATATATATATACACATAAAGTTTATCGAATAATTGATTTCAATTTACTGCGATCGATTTTCATTTGTAACGTGGCCATTTACGTTACTACAAAAATCAAATAGAATAAGCAATAAAATTTGATAGATCGTGATTTAAAGGTTAGTAACATAACATTTCATCTAACTGCATCTAGCGTTTATTATATTATCATGTCACGAAATGTAATGTGAATAGGAGTGGGGATATAAATGAAACAAAAAAACAATACGATATTTCGAGATAAATTTCAAACACCTGTAACCATTACTTGAAACTTGAAACATATTTTTATAGAAGTGACGCGTCACTCCATCTGTTAGAGGGTTGAAGAAACAAAAATTAAGAGTACAATCCTTACCCCTAAGAATTTACTGTACCACTCTTCAAAATAATTTCAAAAATTCTTAATCCTCCACTCTCGTTCAAAAGAATACAACAAATAACCTTCTTCCTTCCAACAAACTTTCCAAACGAAAATAAAATTTCAAATTTTGAACTAAACTACCACCTTAAAAAAGAAAAAAAAAACAAATGACTTTACATACACAATGATTGCTAATTACCATAATTAAAAAAATCTACCTTTATATCTACCTTTCCAAACCCGAGCAACGAGAATAAAATTTCAACTCGTTCCAAAAAAAAAAAAAAAAAAAAAAAAAAATTCTCCAAACTGATCATCGATAAAAGTGTCACCATCTCTTGGCGGAGAAGGTAAGCTGGCGGTCAGTAGTAGGTGGTGGTCGCGCAGGCGTGCGCGCGTTATCGATAATAATTTCGAAGGGGTGAGAAGCAGAGGAGAATATAGAGAGAGAGAAGTATCGGGATCGAAAGGTCGAGCAAGCCGGCGATGGGGCGATATCGCGTTGTGCAACGGTTCGATTCAGTCGCCGGCGTGAGACGCTATATGCCTTAAGCGTGTGAGCGTCCTCTCTCGAGGATCAGGCCGTATGAAATCGTCCTCTCGTCTTAGAATCGAGCGCACCGAGCGAGCGGACGAGACCGTTGGTGGTAAAAAACCTGGTAGGGCCGCGTGGTGGGGGTGCGTGGCCGTGTAACAGAGGAAACAGACGGAACAGGTGTGAGAGAGCAGCCGGTAGGAGAAGGAACGAGTGGCAGGAGGAGCAGGAGGAGTTGGCAAAATGTCGAAGAGAATCGACATCGAGAAACCGTATTGGGACCAGAGCACGTACAAGGGTAGGGCGCTTCACTTTCTAGCGGTAACGAATCCTTTGAATTTGTTTGCCACCGGGAAACAGCTGGAGTATGCACGAGACGTGGTCACCAAATACAGGTAATGTAACACGATTTGTCCATATGATGATTGGTTTGTGACGAATGTGATTGTCGAATTGTATGATATTATCCAGGAAAGGGGAGAGTCTGGCGGAATTGAAAATCACTGAGGACGAGTTGTGGAGATGCAAATACTTGTACGACAGCGCGTTCCATCCCGACACGGGAGAGAAAATGTTCCTGATAGGTCGGATGAGCGCTCAAGTACCCATGAACATGATGATCACAGGATGTATGTTAACGTTCTACAAGTGCGTATTCGAATTTTTACGTTAATCTATATGAAAATTGGAATAAGAAAATTTAGGTTTGTATCGGTTTATATCGTGGCGTTGAATTGATAAACATTTGTCGGACCTTTCACCTTTTGCGAATCCTATCGAATCACGATTTATATTTGTTTGTTTAATCGTATTACAACGCAGAGATACATAAACATGAGTAATAAATATGCGAAAAAAAATTTAATTCAAATTTATCGTGTGTGCAACATAGATTTGCATTCGTAGAGAGAGAGATAATAATGCAAATTTTGAAAAAAAAAAAAGAACACGAATTTTTAAATAATTTTTATCACAATTCTCTGTTAAAATATTTAATTTTTTAATTCTTTAGAACAACAACGCATGTCGTGTTCTGGCAATGGATGAATCAATCGTTCAACGCTATCGTCAATTATACGAACCGTAGTGGATCGAGTCCGATTCCCACACACATGATCTTGCAAAGTTACGGTATTGCAACTGGAGGAGCTGTAATAACAGCCCTCAGCCTGAATCGACTATTCCGGAATGCACCACCTCTGGTGTGTCGATTGGTTCCATTCGCAGCAGTGGCCGCTGCCAACTGCGTAAATATTCCTTTCATGAGGATGTCAGAGCTTCAAAATGGTATTGAATTACAAACAGAGAAAGGAATAAAGATTGGAAACAGTAAACGTGCCGCTAAAAGGGCGATTGCCGCTGTTACTCTGTCCCGTGTCCTTATGGCCGTACCGAGCATGAGTAAGTTTTTAAAATACGTTGGAAAATATATTACGAAATTTTCATCATCATTTGTTGAATAATCAATATTTTACGCGTGTATTTTTAGCATTGGCGCCCTTCATAATGAATGCAATCGAACGACGAAAATTGTTACGATGTGCGAAATGGGCTGTCGTACCTATACAAGTTTTAATTTGCGGAATTTGCTTAACATTCGCCACTCCTCTTTGTTGTGCGCTATTCGAGCAACGAGTAGCCATTTCGGTAGACGATCTGGAACCAGATGTACGGGAACAAATACTCTCCAAGTATCCTAATCTTCAAACAGTGTATTACAATAAAGGTCTTTGAACAAAATATCGAAATACTGCCAAAGAAAGCGTGCGCGATTGAAAAGATACATCGCAAGAAGAAGCGAATTATAATTATCGTAATATTTCTATAGAAACAGAATCGTTAAAGATTCAATAACGATTCTATCAGAATCGAGACACAGATGTAAACATATCCAGTGTTATTCTCTGGTATATATTACAATTACGTGTTGCAACTATGAAAAAAAACTAGCAAGGTGAAATAACGAAGACAATAAAACAGTACAATAATATTTATTGAATGCAATTTAATTTTTGACAACATTAAAACACGATAAATTTAATTCGAGCTTTTCGTATTTTAAATCAGTCATATCTGGCCCAATCATTCGTAATGGAGGTGTAGGTTTAATTTTCCGACCGTGTCGACCTGTTTTTCTCTGCCACAGACCGCTTCTCGGTCGATTTCCGAGCTCTCTATTTTTTTGGGCGCTACCAATCGGTATCGTATTATGCTCGACGTTCGACAATCTACCGACTGTTGCCATGCAACTTTCGTGTAAGCTGAATTCCCTCTTGCTTGGCATTTTAACAATTACACGATCAGATCCATCTTTTCTTAATATTGTACCGTACGTTCCGGCGGAATGAATAAGAAAACCACCTAAACCTGGATACTTTTCCACGCAATTGACGTTTGTACCTTTGGGTAATGCACCAAGCGGATAAGAATCTCCCTCATAAGCTCTGACTGGATTCGGAGGGATAGCTTTATGAGTATGAATTATATCTCCAACTTTCATATTCTCAGTAGCGAGGATATATTGCATTTGATTGCCACTTCCGATCAAAGCCACATTTGACGTTCTGCAACCATCTTTGATTATTGCCAAAATTTTATCTTTCTTTGGAGGTTCATTAAGATCAGTGGGTCCATCTCTGATCCATCTAATCCAATGATATTTGTGTTTAATACCTCCACCGATTCCTTTGGCTACTATTCTTCCTATTTTTAAACATAAATAATATAATGGATGAATAATTTAACGTTAATTCATTATATATGTTGATCGAAATTCTCGCCAGAAAACTATTTTATCAACTGAGAATTTTATTATCAAATGAAAAAAATCCGAATCAAAATATACATTGAAAATTAATTTATCTCGTCAAAATCAACATCGTTTATTATATCTCATGGGTATAAAGTAAAAAATGTAAGTAAAATACACACCTGTAACAGGATCTCTGCCTCCTAAATTCGTAACCTTTAAAGGTTCAATTGTGTATTCATTTTTGAAATGTACAATTCTTCTATAGCTCTTCCCTTTGATTCCAGCTTTTGCACTTTTCACTAGATTCCATTGATTTCTCTTTGGCTGTATTTGACACGATACCGAAGCAGTTTTATAACAAATTTCTGCAGCGTATTTACCGAAAACGCGACTTATCAACGACATGGTAGACATCTTGATACGAATTGATCACAGCGCCATCATCGCGTCTTAAGACCGAGTTTAAATCGAGCAGTTGTCAATAGATGTCGTCACCAATGCTTTAAACGAATTCTAATTCGTTAGTTTCTGATTTGACTAGTTAGCAGAAGTGCGATAGTGCTCTATGTCGAATAAATTTTGAATTTCGCGTTAATTATTGATAAATTTGTTTTAGCGTGGATTGATACTACTAGTGTTACGAAAGTGTGAAGTAGAATGTAGAGTGAGATCTTTTAAAAATCGAGGATCGCCTCACTACACTAAGAAATACGGTCTTCGATGCTTCCTGTCAAGGACAAAGCAATTACCCAACGATCGAAAATGGAAAGCAAGACGAGAGTCATTTACAACGATGAAAAATAGGGCGTGCCGGATTCATCAGGTACGTTACCGAGGCCATTATATTTATACGAAAGATAAAACACCGTTATTGGAAATCAATAAATGATTTTCCGTGCTGACGAGCAATGCATCGCCGTTTCATGCTAAATTTTCACCGGTGCATAAATATAAAATGCATTATCGCCGGTGCACGTTAAATCTCTCCCGTACACGGGAAAAAGTGCGAGTGGTGAGCCGTTAAATAACGATGCGCGTATAAAATACGCGGGAACAGCGCGAGCGCGCCCTCGCGGGCCCCCCTTCTCCATATACGTACACATATGCATATATATACATATACACATGCATACATAACGACCGATCGTAACCTCTTTAAAAAAAAAAATCCACAACAACATCCCTGCCCCCCTTTCCCAGCCCAAAAAAAATATCATTCTCGCGTGAAAAACTCCAACTATGATCGAAATCACGTTTATAAATCATAATACATCGAGGCACGCGTAATCGCGTTTGAATAATTCTCGCCAGGTTTAATCGTACCCCGTATTTGGCGGGCATTTTGAAATAATAATACCGAGTAAACGGTCGTGTAACGACCGTGCGGAATAGCTGCCTCTCTCCCAAGAAGAAAGCCTCTTCGCTCAAAGGAGCAAGAACGCGCGAGTTATACGCGAGCCTTGTACTTCTCCTCCTCCACCTGCTCCTCCTCCTCCTCCTCCTCCTCCTAGCGAGGAGCAGGGGTTAGGCGTTGGTGCGACGAGGATGGCCTCGGGACGAGGGGATCGGTGGGGACGAAGGGTTGAAAGGGGTGGGGAACGCTTAATTGGCCTGGGGTAATTATTTTATTAAGTGAGAAGATGGCGGATGGAATGCTAAGAGAGAGCATGCTGGTGCGGTCTGGCGGGTAGACTGTCGGGTGGCGGGCAGGAGGGGCGGGAGGTGGAGGCGCGAAGGGTGGAGCGAGCAGTGGCGGCGGCAGGTGACGGTGTGGAGAGCGTTTAAAATACCTACGTACCACGAACGTGAATACCGCGGAGCCAGTTGGTGTATATGCGAACGCGGCCGCAACTTTCCGCCATGTACGTGTCCTCCGCTGCTCGCGTGCACGCGTGATTCTCCTCTCATCTCGTCGCTTATACATGTGCATATACGTACATATATATACACAATATATATATATATATATATGTATATATATAGGTTCATGCGCGGTTCCACACGCGTCGAGAAAGGGATGGAAAAGCCGCGAGAAGGGTCTTTCCGTGCGGAGAAAGAGGAGACGTTGGTTCGGATAGGAAAAGAAAGAGAGATAGCGAGAAAGGGAATGAGGTAAGGGGTTGAGGAGGGTGGAAACCGGTGCTTGCGCGCGCGTTCAACGTTTCTCTGTTGGTTGCGAAGGAGGAACATCTATTACCCGGTACATGGGCCGGAGGGGGAGGGGTGGAATCGCGTGGAGGGAGGGGTGCGGGCAAGAGTAGTCGAGCGGCAAATTGTCCGCCATCTTACCCACCTTATACCTTATCTCACACCCTCACCGTAACCACCCTTATCCCCCTTCCTCCGTGGTCTCCTCCTCCAGCCGGTTCTTCTCTCATCCTACACACAGGTTCACCATCCACCCTCGCCCTCCCTCTCCTCCCCCATCCTCCATCTTCCTCCTCGCTTTCTCTCCACGTTCCCCGCTACCGCCTCGAAAGCTTTAGATTACCTACCCCTTATAAGCGCTCGTGTTGCCCATTTATTACCACGACTCTCGCGACTGGTACGAGACCGAGACCACCACCTTCCTCGCTTCCCTTCTTCGTTTTCTCTTTCTTCTCTTTTCTTCTTTTTCGTTTTCTTTTTTCGTTTTCTTTTCTCTTTTCCTTTTTCCACCTCGCCCTCGCAACGTTCGTTTATTCGTCCGTTCGTTTCTTCGTCGTTCTAACCACCCATCCCGGCTCCCTTCCGACCCGATGGCTGTTCGTTTATTTCTTCCTTTCTTACGTCACACCAACGATTCTCGTTACATTTAACTGCTTCTATCGTCGGCGTTCTACAACGTATATACCGAGGAGGAATCGACGAATAACACGATTAGTCGAATTTGCGGGAAATGGTCTGCACGTCGACGCGATTCTCGCGATCCCTTTTCCAGAAGAGAGGGTTAAGAAGAGGATATTTAAGCTTGTACTCGAGATTTCTTGGAAGAATAGCCCGTCTTATTTTTTTTTCTTCCTTTTTTCTTTTTCCCCCCCCTCTCCTTTTGCACGATTATTATTCGAGAAAGTTTGGAGACAGCGTTCGAGCGTTGAAACACGAATTACGTTTAAAAAGATCTCCCTTCTTTTCTTTTTTTTTTTTTTTTTTTTTTTTTTTTTTTTTTTTAAGTTTCCGGTTATCAGTCTGATTCGAGATAACCGTCTCGCTCCTCAAACACGGGCGGAGAGATACTTCTCAATATTAGTCACGCGAGGAAAGTTTCGGGGATGGTGGAAAAAGGGGGAAAAAAAAAAAGAAGAAAAGCCCGGAGGAAAGCTGCGAAAAAAACAAGGAAAGGTGGTAGGAGGACGATGGTCTCGGTCGATGAAACGTTTCCGCAGGGACGAGTTGCGGATGAACTGCGCGTCGAGAAAGAAAAAGAGGTGTCGGGGTAAACGACAAAGACGGGAAGAAGCGTTAGATAAAAATAAAAAGAAGGAGACGAGGAAGAGCAAAATACTCTGGGAAAAAAAAAAAAGAAACGCAAGCGGTATAGAACGAAAAAGAAAAAAAAAAAAAAAAAATAGAAGGACCGATGGAAAGAAGCACGACACACAGGGATGGCATTTTTCGTCGTAAAGTTTCGCGAACGGCCATAGAGACGAAAAGGATGGAAGAACAAAGAAACACGGGAATAGAATGGAAGGCGATAAAAAAAAGAATCATCGTTGATCTTTTTTTTTTTTTTCCCCTCTCTTCTTTTAACTTATTTCTGTTCGTTCCCTCTTAATTCATCGGAGAGCGAAGAATCGTCATTGTAGGATCGTGTAGAGGCGGGCGAGCCTTGAAGAGAAGAGAATCGAGTTTGATCGAAGGGGACGAGTAGCGACGAGAGGGAGAGGGACGGAAGGAGAAAATCAGATAGAGATCAGAGAGACGAAGGAAAGGAATATACGGAAGGGAGGATGGCAACAAGAGCATCGGAGGCGGCTGAAGAGACGGTGAAACGGGACGTGCTGGCGAAAGAAAGACGGGAAGAGGGAGGGAGAGGGAAGAGCGGTAGGATGAGAGGATTGCCACGAGGAGGTGAGGAGTCAGGAGGATGCGGTCGAAGGAGGGTGCAAATAATAACAATAATCATATTTCCCGGCAACATGGCCGCTGAAAGAGGGTGGCCGCGCAGCCTGGGCCGCGTAGGAGGGAAACGAGGGTAGGGGTGAGGCAGCCAGGCAGCCAGGGAGGGTTATCATAATATTACAAACCACCGCCGCAGGGATGTATCTATACAACCCCTCGCCCTCACCGCCGTTCGCCATCCCTCTTTCTCTCGCCCCTCCATCTGTCCCATTCTTGCCTCCACTATCTTCTCAACGGTTCCTCATCCTCCTCCTCCTCCTCCTCCTCCTCGATCCGCCTGTTCCACTCGGCCTCATGGCGAGGATTCACGGTATATTCGTATGTATATACGTATATACATATATATATATATATACGAGCTAAGTCCTTGTGCGATTCGCGCGAATCGCAGTATCCGGCAATTGTCGCCGGTTATATACACCCTCGCACCTCCCTTTTGGCTGCAACCACCTCGCCCTCCTCCGCCTCACCCTCTCCTCGCATCTCGCCGTTTCCTCGCTGAATACGATCCCCGTAGAAAATGTACATCCGCGACATGATCAGGCTTTAGTTTCCACGCCCAGCGGTGGCTCTCGTTCGCCAGAGAGATACTCGCTTGACGAGGCACGTCCGCGGCCTCCCTCCTCTCCTTCCTTTCTCCACCACCTACGCCTCTCTCGATAAAGGGGGACGGTTGGGACACGTTCGAGAAAAATAATTACCTATAAATCCGTCCGCGACGAATTCAATGCCTTTCATTTCAGCGTAGCTCGCGCTTTTTATCCGACCGCGCCGACCCATTGTCCGCCGCCATTCCCCCGCGTATTTTTCCACGCTCGATTGTCTTTGATCGGCGGACCGAACCGAAGACACTTTTTTTTTTTTTTTTTTTTTTTTTTTTCCTTTTTTCCATCGACGGAATAAATTTTATCAATCTCTCATTCTTATCTCTTCCCTGTTTCGAATTCGAATCAACTTTTTCGTCGCGCGGATTTTCCTCGTTTTAAACAATCGTTAAACAAGAGGGAAAAGGGAGGTCGACAATGAAGATTTCTGTATATATATATATATAACAATTTCGCACGACTAATTCTCGACTAATCCTGTCGCTCGGAATCGGAGGAGAAGAGTGTTTCCTTTAGAGAGAGAGAGAAAGAGAAAAAGAAATATCTCAGGAGGGGAAGAAAAGAAGACGCGGCAGACAGTCTGTCTGCGGAAGAACCGGTCGAGTTAATTTCATCCAGATGTTCGAGGAGTTGGCTTGGTTCGTTCACTTTTCCGCGAGAGACCACATCTACTCTTTTAGAGGAGGAGGGTGATCCTGTGGAAGGACG